CGTGGCGCAGTTGGCGCTAGCTGAGGTTTGTGGTGTCGCTGTGGCCGAGCAGCGCCGCGGTGAGAGCTCGGCGGGGGGAAGGCCTAGACGCGGGCTGGGCGGGAAGGAGGGGTGTGTGCGCTGAGGAGCTGCGGCTGGGGGCGATGGCGGACGGTGATGGCGGGGGGAGGGCTGGGACGTTGCCTTCCCTCTTTAACGGCAGCACCGCGAGGCGGTGGCGGGGCAGGGCGAGGGGCCGCTGGCAAAATGGCGGTGGCGCAGGCGCAGCGGTGCTTCAAGATGATGGCGGGCGCGCGCCTCGGGCGGGAAGGGGAAGCGGGTGGGGACCCCGCCCCTCCGTGGGTGTGGTCGGGGCCTCGCTGTGACGTCACGGATGGCGGCGCGGCCCTGGGTACGAGGAGGAGGAACATCACTAAAGCACAGCGGGTTTTCCTTCTTCCAGGGAAAAATGCAGATCTTCGTGAAGACCCTGACGGGCAAGACCATCACCCTTGAGGTCGAGCCCAGTGACACCATTGAGAATGTCAAGGCCAAGATCCAAGACAAGGAAGGCATCCCTCCTGATCAGCAGAGGCTGATTTTCGCTGGGAAGCAGCTGGAAGATGGCCGTACCCTGTCTGACTACAACATCCAGAAAGAATCCACTCTGCACCTGGTGCTGCGCCTGCGGGGGGGATGCAGATCTTTGTCAAGACCCTGACTGGCAAGACCATCACCCTTGAGGTCGAGCCCAGTGACACCATTGAGAACGTCAAGGCCAAGATCCAGGATAAGGAAGGCATCCCTCCTGACCAGCAGAGGCTGATCTTTGCTGGCAAGCAGCTGGAAGATGGCCGTACCCTCTCTGACTACAACATCCAGAAGGAGTCAACTCTGCACCTTGTCCTGCGCCTGCGGGGTGGTAACTGAACCAGCAGGTTGTTGCTTCCAAATAAAAGGTTCCCTGCACTTGTTCATTCCAATAAAGCTGTTGCATCCGTGAAAGTTTGTGTCCCAAGTTACATTAACAGTCATTCATGACATTGCCTGACTCCAGCTCTCTAATAAACAATAATTATGTAGTTTCCACAGACAAAGGAGTTGCAAAACTGCCTTATGCAAGGCTTCCACATGCCTGGTGATTGTAGCTAATCCCTTAGCCGTGGTTTTCCTGGGGTTGTGTAAGTGTTCTGATACCTGGCTGGAGCTCAGTGCCCGCCTGCAGATGTTGTGCAGCTGTGGGCATTGTGTAAGCCGGGCTATGCAACGGGAAGCTGTAGATACGCCGGAGTCGGAAGACTTTGAAACAGCTCTTGGTTGCCCAGCAACTGCCCTTATTTTGGGATTAGTGGAGAAACGGCAGAAGGGTGATCCTACAGCTCTGTCACAGCCTAGGGTAACAGGATGGGACTGCTGGTCCTGCAGCCCTTGAAAAGTGGGGTGGGAATTGTAGATCTCATCAGTTACGGGGTGGACTTGTTTTTTTTGTCGAGCTTAATGACATGAGGCAAGCAGTAATTTCAGATGTACTTAGTGGAAATCTGAATGTGTTTCATTCCAGCTGTGCCCCAAGTGGAAACGCTGCTGAGCTGAGCTGTCCCAGAGCAGTTCCTGTGTGCTGTAAAAGCCCTGGCAAAAGGGAAGTTCTCATGGAAGTATTTGTAGTAGAGGTTGCAGGAAGGACTGATGAGTTAACCATGGCTGTGCTGGGGGTGTGGAGAGGGAAAAGGGAGAGTAAAACAGGAATGCCCTTTCCAGGAATGGAGACATGGACTAACCTGGAAGGGGAGAGGTGGGAGCTGGATAATGGTCTCGGCTGGTGACTGGCTTCAGGGGGGCCCCAAAGGGATCTAGCACTGCCTGGGTGGGATAACAGGGTGTGACTCGGGTAATCCTGGTTGCTTTTAGTAGTGTGGCCTCTAAGGAGCAAGTTTGGAGTGCTGAGGTCTGTGGAGGAGAAAGCATTTGAATAATAAAGAGCTAAATCCTCTGTGGGTGGGAGCTGGTGCTGTGCCATCCTGAACATCCTGTCCTCCCCCAGAGGAGTGCCCTGGGCTCTGCCCACGCTGCCCTGGCTCCTGAGCTGAACCCCAACAGCTGCAATGAACAGTTTGCCATTGTGTGGGCTTTCTGTCCTCTTGGGACATCAGAAAACACAAAGTGAACATCTCTTCAGCAGAGCTCCTTAAACAGAGGTGCCTGCTCAGCCAGGGGAGGGTGTCACTGCAATGCAGGGAGCACAACTGCACATGGTTCTGATTCGAAGGCAGCCTGACTGCCATCAGGGGAGAACTGCAGGAGGACACGGGGTGTTGGATGAATGTCAAAAGTCTCCACAAATTACTGCAGAGCTGTGTTTTAAGAAATCCTTTTTGATAACCTTTGCAGTGGCATCTTTAAAAACCACAGTGCTGGGCATATCCGTAATGGCCTGGAGCAGGCTGTGGGAAGCCTGGAGGAGAATCCTGTGCTGTGGTCTCGTGAGATGGGTCAGCCTCTGCTGACCACAAAGGGAATGGCATCAGGTTGTGTCAGGAGGGTTAGAATGTGTGGTAGGAAAAAGTTCTTCCCATAAGGTGGGCTGAACAGGCATCCTGGGGCAGTGGTCACAGCACCAAACCTTCCACGGTTCAAGATGAGTTTGGGCAACACTCCCGGGCCCATGGTGGGATTTTGGAGCTGTTCTGTGCAAGTTTCTGACTTGATCCTAGTGGGTCCCTTCCAGCCCAGGACATTCTATGGTTCTGTGGCCTCTGTGGGTCCCTTTGCTGGGTTTGAGGAACCTCAAGGCTCGCAGCGCCAACGCTTCAGAGGCGGCACCCTTGAGCACAGACCACAGCTGGGGTGGGATCCACCACAGAACAGCAAAATTTGATGAGAACAGCAAAGCATGTCGAAAACTTTTAAGGTTGTCTTTTGTTCTAACTGTAGCAGAACATGCTGTTCCCAAGATCTTCTCACGGTTGCATTGTTCCACAGCGCCTCAGGGAATCTCCTGGATTTTACTGGGGTTTATTGGGATTTGAAGAAAAATTCCTTTCACAGCATTTTTTTGAAAAAAAAATGATTTAAAAAGTAAAAGAAAATACAACGCCTACTTTGTGCTGTTCTGAAGGCATTGCTGCTGGGAGAGGGGACCCATCCCACAGCAGAGACCAGTCAGGACTGAACAGAGACACTGGTTAATTCATCTGGTCATTAAACAGAGACAACTATCAGGGTAAGAGGTTTAGAAGGGGGGAAAAAACCCACACAATTAAGTGTAAAGATACAAATTCAAATGCTCCACCGAGGTGGGGGCCCTGGCAAGAGGCAGGTCCTGTGCTGGGCCCTGCCTGGTGGCAGCCTTGAGATTGTGCCTCCTCTCATCTTGCGTGTGGCAGGTGGAAACACTCCAGCTTCCAGATGTGTTAGCTCAGCTGGGACAATGGGATGTTGCACGTGATTGATTTAAAACAGGCTGTCACAGGCTGGACTCTATTTTCTCCTGCTTTCCAGATGCTCAACCAGGCTTTTGCTCAGGGCCACGTTCAGATGCACAAGATAGACAAAAGACCCAGTTCCTTGGAAAAGCAGGGTTGGGTTAAATGGAAAATCAGAGGCAGGTTAAGGGGTGATGGATGTTCACTCCTCAGGCAAGACATATACATCTGTATATATATCCACATGAATACAAACACGCTTATGTAATCTTTGTCTAGCGTGTAATGACAGAAGGAATGGCTTCTAACTGAAAAAATAAGTTTAGATTAGATATTAAGGAAAAAATCTTTACTGTGAGGATGGTGAGTCCCAGGAACAGCTTTCCCAGAGCAGCTGTGGCTGTCCCATCCCTGGCAGTGTCCAAGGGCATGTTGGATGTGGCTTGGAACAACCAGGGATACTGGAAGGTGTCCCTGCCCATGGCAGGGGGTGGGACGAGATGATCTTTAAGATCCCCTCCAACGCAAACCCATTCTATTCTACAACTGCACGACTGAGCGGTATTTTACCTATGTGCACATTTTCCTGCTGTCCGTATTTTAGCAGTTTTCCCGTTTTTTCGCGGACACACGTGCTCACATCCACGCCTCGCTCGGGCTCCCTTTCCCGTGGTACCGCGGGGGGCGGGGCTGGGGCGGAGCCTTCCGGAGCAAGCCCCGCCCTGTGGCGCCTTGGCCCCGCCCCC